CATTGCCTTTTCTTTTTACTCAGTTTTAGCTTCTCTTGTTTCAATTTTACCTTTTGGTGCTTGTGGACTGCATGCCGAACTTTCCTGATCTATTTATGTATCAGCTCTTTCTGTATCTTTGAATCTAGAAGTCTAGGTATCCATTTCTCTAGATGTTGATCTGTAGGGATGTGTGCCCAATTATCTTTTTAACGGATTAGTTAGGTGATGGAAGGAAACGTGCAGTCCCGACTGGGGATGAGGAGGGGCTGGAATCAGCTTCCATCCCTAGCTGTTTGTAAATTGACTGCACGGGTGAATCAAGATGTTGAGTGTGTCCCTCTGCAACCACCGAGTTCCAATGGAAGAGGAAGGCAAAGGTCTGGGTTCTTGGTGCTCTTCTTTGTTTGTTTCTTTCTTTTTTCTTTCTTCCTTATTTGTTTGTTTATTTATCTATTTATGTATGTATCTATGTGTGTATCCATATATCTATGTATCTATGTATCCATCTATGTATCTATGTATGTATGTATCTATCTCTTTATTTGTTTATTTATTTATTTATTTGTTTATTTATTCATTTATTTATTTATTTATTTATTTATTTATTTCCTTTGACGCGAAGGTGTTGGGCACTCGAGTTCTTGGGAAGGGGTTGGGTGGAGGGAAAGTCTAAAGTGGAGTGTTTGCTCTGGGAAGCCTGGTCTTCCTGAGGGTGGCGATCTAGGCGCTCCCAGGTGGGCAGAAAGCGCCGCCAGTGGGTCTGGGGAGCAGGCAGGGAAGCCTGCCCAGGGTCTCCTCGGGAGAGGGCGGCCAGGAGCTTGAGCAGGAGCAGAGATCCCAGGAGCAGGCTCTGCAAAGTCTGGGCTCTCCAAGCGGGCGGGCGGCAGCGGGTGGGCGTGTTGGCGGGCTGGCGGGCTGGCGGGTCGGCGGGCTGGCGGGCGCCCTTTCCGGCCAAAGGAGAGAGCAGGTCTGGTCCAGATTGATGGCCAGCAATTCCAGGGCAGAGAGCATCCTCGGGTCACCTCCCAGAGAGCTTCTTCTTGTAATCCCTGAGGGTCTTGGCCATGAGCGGGGCACATCTCTTCTTAGGCTGGGTCTTGTTGCTGGCCTGTGGCGGCCAAAGGCAGGGAGCCCTCCCTGGCGGGCGGTGGGCAGAGGCCTCCTGGCGGCTGCTCATTTCGGAGGAGGCCGCCCCTCGGGCTGCAGGCTCTGCCTGCTGGCCTGGGCAGAGTCTTGAGCCTTGAGCCTGGAAGGCCATCATCTTGGTTTGGCGGCCTGGAGGCTTCTTGGCTTGCGCGCCTTGGAGGCGGGCTCTCAGGGCTTGCAGCCTCAGCTCAGGAGACTCCTGCAGCTGGAGGATTGTGGCGCTGGCAGTCTTGGTATGAGTTGGCTTGCCCGTGGGTGTCTGGTGACGGGACTCCTCCCCTTGCAGCCAGGGCTCACTTTCTTGCGCTGTGTCTTGGCAGCGAGTTTTCCAGGGGCGGTCAAGGGGCTCAGCAAGGCGCCCTCGCTGCCAGTTCTGCAGGAGCCTGGCAGGTGCAGGACCCGAATAGACTGGCGTCTTCAAGTGGGTCCTGCGCGCCCAAGGCGGGGAGTCTTGGTCAGTGTGCTCCGGGCCACCCAGCGGGAAGCCAGCCTGGAGACTGGAAGCCTCTTGTGCAAGGGGATGCCCAGCGAGGACGCCAGTGTCAGTGTCCTTGGCATCTTGGGATCTTGGGGACTCGCCCCGGGGCACCTTGGCTCCAGGGCTAAGGGCCTCCTCAGCTTTCCAGGTGCTTTTTGCCCTCCTCTTGCACCCAGTCAGCTGCAGCTGCAGAGCAGAGGAAGGAGGAGAGCTGTCAGAGTTGAGGCAGGCCTCCAAAGGATCAGCTGGGGGCCCTTCCTCCATCCTGTGGCCTGGAGTCTTTCCCCCAGCACCTGACTCGCTGGAGATGGCCTTGGGCGCTGGGAGCCGCCAGGGCTCCTCTCTACTCGCTCGGGGCTTTGCCACAGGCACCCGGTTCTGTGCAGCTAGCTGTGGCTCCCCTAAGGACACTCTTGGCCTCTTGCTTCCTCTTGGCTCCAGCCTTGGGCTGCTAGTCACCTTTCGCTGGAGCCTTGTGTGTGGGCTCAGGCTCGCTCCAAGTCCCGGGCTCGGGCTCGGGCTCGGGCTCGGGCCAGGACTTGAGTGTTTGATTCTGCTGCTGCTGCTGCTGCTGCTGCTGCTGCTGCTGCTCCTGCTGCTGCTGCTCACGTGGAAGACCTCTGTCCCATCTTGTGTGTGTTCCCTTGGCGCAGACTCACGGGGCTTGTCTTCTGGACAGTTTCTGGGCCGCAATGTCATCAGGCTCAACGCGAAGGCAAAGTCCTCCCGGTCCGGCTCACGATGGGGCTCCAACTGGGACCTCTCTGACCAAATGGCCGCTAAGTCCTTGGCAAAGGGGACCAGGAGCTGCTCTTTCCTCAAGAGCTTCATGGTCTGCTCGAAGTTCATCTCTGCCAGGGGGTCACGGAGCTTGGGCAGGGAAGAGAGTTTCTGGAGGGTCTGGTAGAGCTTGCTTGGCTCTGTCTCCGTGCACAGGTGCCGCTGCAGCTCCAGCAGGGCTTCTGCGCTGGAGGCGGCTTCCATGTCCACTGATGAAGACCCGAGGGGGCACCCCGGAAGAAGCAGGGTTGACTGGACAAGCCCTCTGCCTGGGGACGCGACTGGCTCTCAGGAGCAGAGGACACTGGGCTGGCCTGCGAGTCAGCTGGCACTCTCTGCCTCACTGCTGCTCTGCCCGACCCCACCCTATGCTTTGAAGGCGGTGGGTGGGCCGAGCTCCCTCACCACCGCCCAATCAAACACCTAGGCTGCATCTGCTGGGCATGCCCTTTCCGACTTCCAGGTCTCTAAGCCACACCCACAGACCAAATCTCTGGCCTGATCTTCATCTCCTAGGGGGTGGGGACCGCGGGGAGGGGGAGAAAACAAGCACAGAGACCTGATGATGGCTTCCAGGCCACTGTCTCCCTTACAGGTGACCCCTGCGACTTGGGACCCTAAGTAGGAACTTCTGTCTGCTTTGGGCACAGTGCGCTCACAAGGGGCTCATGCCAGCCTAGGGTGCATCCCCTAGATGCCAACTAGTCACACTGCTTGTGCCAGAAAAAGATGCAATCCATTCCGACACACCCACCACCCTGTCTCTCTCTCTTACTCTCTCTGTCTCTCTCTTGGTCTCGCTCCCTCTTTCACTTGCTCTTCCTTTCTATGTTTCTCTCCCACTCCGTCTCTCTCTCTCTCTCTCTCTCTCTCTCTCTCTCTCTCTCTCTCTCTCTCTCTCTCTCTCTCTGTCTCTCTCTCTCTCTCTCTCTCTCTCTGTCTCTCTCTCTCTGTTTCACTCACAGACACACGAGCACATGCACGTGCACACACCCACACACACCAATATCCTTTTCTGCTCCTCTCCCCAATTTGGTACACTTCTCTCACCATCACTTCCTTTCTGGGACACTCAAACTTTTCTTCCTAAGCTGGCACCCACACCTCTGGTTTTCACTCCAGGTTCTGTCTGATTCAACACTGTGACTTTGAATCAGGGCCTCCTTTGACGGTGCAATCCTGAGGTGATGTGTATGTGTCTTTGTGGTTGCTTTTTGTTTTCCATAGTTTGGTTTTCTGTCTGGGTGGTGGGGGTGGTGTGTGGGGGGAGGTTCCACAATGCTTGTTCTTCTCTAGTGAGTTAGAATGTCTGGGATCTCTTAGTCCACTCACCTCATCCATTTTTTTTCGTAAACTCTCCTTCATTCTTTATCCTTCCTTCCTTCCTTCCATCCTTCCTTTTTTTTTTTTTTTGGTTTTGGCACATAGGGTTTCTCTGTGTAACAGCCCTGGCTGTCCTGGAACTTGTTTTGTAGACCTGTAGGCTGGTCTGGAACTTACAGAGATCCACCTGCCTCTGCCTCCCTGAGGGCTGAGATTAAATGGGTGTGTCACCACAACCCACCCTTATCCACTTTTTTCACACACCCACACAGCCAAACAGACACGTCGTTTCACCTCCATACTTTCTTTCTAGGGTCTTGGTGTTCAATTTCATTGCCTTTTCTTTTTACTCAGTTTTAGCTTCTCTTGTTTCAATTTTACCTTTTGGTGCTTGTGGACTGCATGCCGAACTTTCCTGATCTATTTATGTATCAGCTCTTTCTGTATCTTTGAATCTAGAAGTCTAGGTATCCATTTCTCTAGATGTTGATCTGTAGGGATGTGTGCCCAATTATCTTTTTAACGGATTAGTTAGGTGATGGAAGGAAACGTGCAGTCCCGACTGGGGATGAGGAGGGGCTGGAATCAGCTTCCATCCCTAGCTGTTTGTAAATTGACTGCACGGGTGAATCAAGAAGTTGAGTGTGTCCCTCTGCAACCACCGAGTTCCAATGGAAGAGGAAGGCAAAGGTCTGGGTTCTTGGTGCTCTTCTTTGTTTGTTTGTTTCTTTCTTTTTTCTTTCTTCCTTGTTTGTTTGTTTATTTATCTATTTATGTATCTATTTATGTGTGTATCCACATATCTATGTATCCATCTATGTATCTATCTATCTCTTTATTTGTTTGTTTATTTATTTATTTATTTATTTATTTGTTTGTTTCCTTTGACGAGAAGGTGTTGGGCACTCGAGTTCTTGGGAAGGGGTTGGGTGGAGGGAAAGTCTAAAGTGGAGTGTTTGCTCTGGGAAGCCTGGTCTTCCTGAGGGTGGCGATCTAGGCGCTCCCAGGTGGGCAGAAAGCGCCGCCAGTGGGTCTGGGGAGCAGGCAGGGAAGCCTGCCCAGGGTCTCCTCGGGAGAGGGCGGCCAGGAGCTTGAGCAGGAGCAGAGATCCCAGGAGCAGGCTCTGCAAAGTCTGGGCTCTCCAAGCGGGCGGGCGGCAGCGGGTGGGCGTGTTGGCGGGCTGGCGGGCTGGCGGGTCGGCGGGCTGGCGGGCGCCCTTTCCGGCCAAAGGAGAGAGCAGGTCTGGTCCAGATTGATGGCCAGCAATTCCAGGGCAGAGAGCATCCTCGGGTCACCTCCCAGAGAGCTTCTTCTTGTAATCCCTGAGGGTCTTGGCCATGAGCGGGGCACATCTCTTCTTAGGCTGGGTCTTGTTGCTGGCCTGTGGCGGCCAAAGGCAGGGAGCCCTCCCTGGCGGGCGGTGGGCAGAGGCCTCCTGGCGGCTGCTCATTTCGGAGGAGGCCGCCCCTCGGGCTGCAGGCTCTGCCTGCTGGCCTGGGCAGAGTCTTGAGCCTTGAGCCTGGAAGGCCATCATCTTGGTTTGGCGGCCTGGAGGCTTCTTGGCTTGCGCGCCTTGGAGGCGGGCTCTCAGGGCTTGCAGCCTCAGCTCAGGAGACTCCTGCAGCTGGAGGATTGTGGCGCTGGCAGTCTTGGTATGAGTTGGCTTGCCCGTGGGTGTCTGGTGACGGGACTCCTCCCCTTGCAGCCAGGGCTCACTTTCTTGCGCTGTGTCTTGGCAGCGAGTTTTCCAGGGGCGGTCAAGGGGCTCAGCAAGGCGCCCTCGCTGCCAGTTCTGCAGGAGCCTGGCAGGTGCAGGACCCGAATAGACTGGCGTCTTCAAGTGGGTCCTGCGCGCCCAAGGCGGGGAGTCTTGGTCAGTGTGCTCCGGGCCACCCAGCGGGAAGCCAGCCTGGAGACTGGAAGCCTCTTGTGCAAGGGGATGCCCAGCGAGGACGCCAGTGTCAGTGTCCTTGGCATCTTGGGATCTTGGGGACTCGCCCCGGGGCACCTTGGCTCCAGGGCTAAGGGCCTCCTCAGCTTTCCAGGTGCTTTTTGCCCTCCTCTTGCACCCAGTCAGCTGCAGCTGCAGAGCAGAGGAAGGAGGAGAGCTGTCAGAGTTGAGGCAGGCCTCCAAAGGATCAGCTGGGGGCCCTTCCTCCATCCTGTGGCCTGGAGTCTTTCCCCCAGCACCTGACTCGCTGGAGATGGCCTTGGGCGCTGGGAGCCGCCAGGGCTCCTCTCTACTCGCTCGGGGCTTTGCCACAGGCACCCGGTTCTGTGCAGCTAGCTGTGGCTCCCCTAAGGACACTCTTGGCCTCTTGCTTCCTCTTGGCTCCAGCCTTGGGCTGCTAGTCACCTTTCGCTGGAGCCTTGTGTGTGGGCTCAGGCTCGCTCCAAGTCCCGGGCTCGGGCTCGGGCTCGGGCTCGGGCCAGGACTTGAGTGTTTGATTCTGCTGCTGCTGCTGCTGCTGCTGCTGCTGCTGCTGCTGCTGCTGCTGCTGCTCCTGCTGCTGCTGCTCACGTGGAAGACCTCTGTCCCATCTTGTGTGTGTTCCCTTGGCGCAGACTCACGGGGCTTGTCTTCTGGACAGTTTCTGGGCCGCAATGTCATCAGGCTCAACGCGAAGGCAAAGTCCTCCCGGTCCGGCTCACGATGGGGCTCCAACTGGGACCTCTCTGACCAAATGGCCGCTAAGTCCTTGGCAAAGGGGACCAGGAGCTGCTCTTTCCTCAAGAGCTTCATGGTCTGCTCGAAGTTCATCTCTGCCAGGGGGTCACGGAGCTTGGGCAGGGAAGAGAGTTTCTGGAGGGTCTGGTAGAGCTTGCTTGGCTCTGTCTCCGTGCACAGGTGCCGCTGCAGCTCCAGCAGGGCTTCTGCGCTGGAGGCGGCTTCCATGTCCACTGATGAAGACCCGAGGGGGCACCCCGGAAGAAGCAGGGTTGACTGGACAAGCCCTCTGCCTGGGGACGCGACTGGCTCTCAGGAGCAGAGGACACTGGGCTGGCCTGCGAGTCAGCTGGCACTCTCTGCCTCACTGCTGCTCTGCCCGACCCCACCCTATGCTTTGAAGGCGGTGGGTGGGCCGAGCTCCCTCACCACCGCCCAATCAAACACCTAGGCTGCATCTGCTGGGCATGCCCTTTCCGACTTCCAGGTCTCTAAGCCACACCCACAGACCAAATCTCTGGCCTGATCTTCATCTCCTAGGGGGTGGGGACCGCGGGGAGGGGGGAGAAAACAAGCACAGAGACCTGATGATGGCTTCCAGGCCACTGTCTCCCTTACAGGTGACCCCTGCGACTTGGGACCCTAAGTAGGAACTTCTGTCTGCTTTGGGCACAGTGCGCTCACAAGGGGCTCATGCCAGCCTAGGGTGCATCCCCTAGATGCCAACTAGTCACACTGCTTGTGCCAGAAAAAGATGCAATCCATTCCGACACACCCACCACCCTGTCTCTCTCTCTTACTCTCTCTGTCTCTCTCTTGGTCTCGCTCCCTCTTTCACTTGCTCTTCCTTTCTATGTTTCTCTCCCACTCCGTCTCTCTCTCTCTCTCTCTCTCTCTCTCTCTCTCTCTCTCTGTCTCTCTCTCTCTCTCTCTCTCTCTCTCTCTCTCTCTCTCTCTCTGTCTCTCTCTCTCTCTGTTTCACTCACAGACACACGAGCACATGCACGTGCACACACCCACACACACCAATATCCTTTTCTGCTCCTCTCCCCAATTTGGTACACTTCTCTCACCATCACTTCCTTTCTGGGACACTCAAACTTTTCTTCCTAAGCTGGCACCCACACCTCTGGTTTTCACTCCAGGTTCTGTCTGATTCAACACTGTGACTTTGAATCAGGGCCTCCTTTGACGGTGCAATCCTGAGGTGATGTGTATGTGTCTTTGTGGTTGCTTTTTGTTTTCCATAGTTTGGTTTTCTGTCTGGGTGGTGGGGGTGGTGTGTGGGGGGAGGTTCCACAATGCTTGTTCTTCTCTAGTGAGTTAGAATGTCTGGGATCTCTTAGTCCACTCACCTCATCCATTTTTTTTCGTAAACTCTCCTTCATTCTTTATCCTTCCTTCCTTCCTTCCATCCTTCCTTTTTTTTTTTTTTTTTGGTTTTGGCACATAGGGTTTCTCTGTGTAACAGCCCTGGCTGTCCTGGAACTTGTTTTGTAGACCTGTAGGCTGGTCTGGAACTTACAGAGATCCACCTGCCTCTGCCTCCCTGAGGGCTGAGATTAAATGGGTGTGTCACCACAACCCACCCTTATCCACTTTTTTTCACACACCCACACAGCCAAACAGACACGTCGTTTCACCTCCATACTTTCTTTCTAGGGTCTTGGTGGTTCAATTTCATTGCCTTTTTCTTTTTACTCAGTTTTAGCTTCTCTTGTTTCAATTTTACCTTTTGGTGCTTGTGGGACTGCATGCCGAACTTTCCTGATCTATTTATGTATCAGCTCTTTCTGTATCTTTGAATCTAGAAGTCTAGGTATCCATTTCTCTAGATGTTGATCTGTAGGGATGTGTGCCCAATTATCTTTTTAACGGATTAGTTAGGTGATGGAAGGAAACGTGCAGTCCCGACTGGGGATGAGGAGGGGCTGGAATCAGCTTCCATCCCTAGCTGTTTGTAAATTGACTGCACGGGTGAATCAAGAAGTTGAGTGTGTCCCTCTGCAACCACCGAGTTCCAATGGAAGAGGAAGGCAAAGGTCTGGGTTCTTGGTGCTCTTCTTTGTTTGTTTGTTTTCTTTCTTTTTTCTTTCTTCCTTGTTTGTTTGTTTATTTATCTATTTTATGTATCTATTTATGTGTGTATCCACATATCTATGTATCCATCTATGTATCTATCTATCTCTTTATTTGTTTGTTTTATTTATTTATTTATTTATTTATTTGTTTGTTTCCTTTGACGAGAAGGTGTTGGGCACTCGAGTTCTTGGGAAGGGGTTGGGTGGAGGGAAAGTCTAAAGTGGAGTGTTTGCTCTGGGAAGCCTGGTCTTCCTGAGGGTGGCGATCTAGGCGCTCCCAGGTGGGCAGAAAGCGCCGCCAGTGGGTCTGGGGAGCAGGCAGGGAAGCCTGCCCAGGGTCTCCTCGGGAGAGGGCGGCCAGGAGCTTGAGCAGGAGCAGAGATCCCAGGAGCAGGCTCTGCAAAGTCTGGGCTCTCCAAGCGGGCGGGCGGGCAGCGGGTGGG